AACAAATAAAGAAAGGAAAAATGAAAGAGGAAAGAAATAAAGAAACAAGTACAATGCAACAAAACACCCCCCAACCTCTGGGCCTAGATACCATTGGTTGACAGGATTGTTCTACACAACAGAACCATCTTTACACAGTGGTACAGAACCCCAAACATTGCATGTTCCAGAATAGATTCGATGATGATTGTGATCAGTACTGCTGACAGCTGGGCTGGGGTGTTAGTGTTATATCACAGGCTGCAATGGAAGCGTTGGGGGTGTCATGGTGTTGTCATGGTGTTGTCATGGGGGTGTCATGGGGGTGTGAGCATCTAATGAGAAGCCATCATACTGCCCGTCTTGAGAGCCAGGGTTCATGTGTAAGGATAGTCGTTCCTCGTTTGCTCAAAAACCTTGGATTCCAAATAATTTGAAGTATTTAATATACTTGACCTGTGTACAATTGGAACCCCGATCACAAGGTTTCCAACAGCCAGAGCTCAAATACAGTGCCTATCGTATGCAGTGCCTATCGTATACAGTGCCTATCGTATGCAGTGCCTATCGTATGCAGTGCCTATCGTATGCAGTGCCTATCGTATGCAGTGCCTATCGTATACAGTGCCTATCGTATGCAGTGCCTATCGTATGCAGTGCCTATCGTATACAGTGCCTATCGTATATAGTGCCTATCGTATGCAGTGCCTATCGTATGCAGTGCCTATCGTATACAGTTCCTATCGTATGCAGTGCCTATCATATACAGTGCCTATCGTATACAGTGCCTATCGTATGCAGTGCCTATCGTATACAGTGCCTATCGTATACAGTTCCTATCGTATGCAGTGCCTATCGTATACAGTTCCTATCGTATGCAGTGCCTATCATATACAGTGCCTATCGTATACAGTGCCTATCGTATGCAGTGCCTATCGTATACAGTGCCTATCGTATACAGTGCCTATCGTATGCAGTGCCTATCGTATACAGTGCCTATGGTATGCAGTGCCTATCATATACAATGCCTATCGTATGCAGTGCCTATGGTATGCAGTGCCTATGGTATGCAGTGCCTATCGTATACAGCTTATCGTGTATAGCTCAACACTTTCTATGCTCTATTCACAAACCACCTGTCCAGATGGCATCCTCCTTAGTTGCGTCTTTAGAGTTTGTGCCAACCAGCTGGCTGCCATTTTAACAGACATCTTCCGTCTCACATTATTCTGATAGCTATGAAACCAAGGGTAACATGTCGTAATGACTTTTGCCCTGTCAAAACCGCCACGTCATAACGAAGAGCTTGGATTAATGACACAGGGACAGCATAGAACCAAGCAGCTAAATAAGCACATGCAATTTACCCCATTTGATCTGGAATCTTAAAAACAGGTTTTATAGGTTCTTGTTGAATTTTCCATTGGTATACATTAACTTCGCCATGATATATCGGTGAAATACTTATGCGGGAATTTTCACATAAAATGTATGTATATACAGTAAATCACACACTGATAATAATATAAAGTGATGTAAATGTCAAAAACATTATTATGATGTAAGTTAACGTATGCAAGTAAATTCAGTCTGGCCACAAAGTGGCGCCATATTGGCTACCAGACGATTTATACGGATCTGTGTCCCTACTTGTGATTACATTTGTCACAAAATCTCAATGAATGTAGTTAAAATATAAGTAATGGTTAAATTAAAATACTAGGAGGCACCATTGGTCAGGAAAAAATATCCACGCTGCATTTGTTGCATTAATGGACATATAGTGCGTAAATGTGTAGGCTACCCCATGCAAATGACAATTAACATTTAAATTAGGTCCATTTATATAGTGTGTAAATGTGTAGGCTACCCCATGCAAATGACAATTAACATTTAAATTAGGTCCATTTATATAGTGCGTAAATGTGTAGGCTACCCCATGCAAATGACAATTAACATTTAAATTAGGTCCATTTATATAGTGCGTAAATGTGTAGGCTACACCATGCAAATGACAATTAACATTTAAATTAGGTCCATTTATATAGTGTGTAAATGTGTAGGCTACCCCATGCAAATGACAATTAACATTTAAATTAGGTCCATTTATATAGTGCGTAAATGTGTAGGCTACCCCATGCAAATGACAATTAACATTTAAATTAGGTCCATTTATATAGTGTGTAAATGTGTAGGCTACCCCATGCAAATGACAATTAACATTTAAATTAGGTCCATTTATATAGTGTGTAAATGTGTAGGCTACCCCATGCAAATGACAATTAACATTTCAATTAGGTCCATTTATATAGTGCGTAAATGTGTAGGCTACCCCATGCAAATGACAATTAACATTTAAATTAGGTCCATTTATATAGTTAATATATAAATGGACCTGCGTTAATCTATTCTGCGAACAATCCATTCAATTACTTGGACGTTTTAGACTAACAATAATATATTGTCTCATGTGAAAGTGGTTTCATAACATTGTATATTGTATATTTTACAGCCAAGAACTATTGTAGGAACACGCGATTACGTTACTAGTGAACATATCTACCATGCATTTATGTTAAAAAATATCTGTAATTGAACCACTGCATACGGCTCGGCAGTCGAGCACCCTACCCACTGCTACACCAGGGTTGCGGTTTTACGTCAAGTCGTTATGCAATGTAATCGCGGTTCTTACAATTGTTCACAGGATATTAACCCAAACCCTAACATTACGAAACTAGCCCTAACCTTAACCCTAGCCCTAACATTATGAAACTATCCCTAACCTTCAGGGGTGCAAACTCATTAGGGTTGAAAAAGGTGACAAAGACTGAACCCCCCTAGAGCATGGCCCGCGAAAAAAAACAATACCAGCATGAAAATGTGGATTTACAATCGATTTTATCACGAGGATATAGGTAAAAACTTCTCTTGGAATTCTCTCTTTTCATTCTGAAAATAAATTGAAGTGGGTGAGTGGCCAGGCTACACAGACTAGTCAAATGTAATTTGTAACTTTAGCTACAAGCAGGGCAAGTTTTTAATTATTTGTATAGCACCAGGCCGGCTTTCATACACAATGGCAACTCGAGTGTTTTACAACACACTTAATCATAAAATATTCTGACCTTATTCAAAAAGTAAAAATTGCCTTTTTCTCAATATGTTGAAATGTATGAAAAGACAAAAAATGAGCACTATAAAAGTGGACTACTTTATTAATTATTTAAACAGCATTGGACCAATTCTGTCCCATGCGTTTTGATACATATAGAGTCATTGCTATAACCGTGATCGCGATTTAGCAGTCTTCCACTGCTTTTACATTTTGGGACGTTTGAAATCAGGGGCGTCAGTTTGTGTTGAAAAGTGGTGGGGACCAAAGATCAGCTGGAAAAACATTAGAGCAGGACGGGAAAAATATTGAATAACGGCGCATTAAAAATGGGCATAGTGAGTTCAATATTAGACTGACATTGGTCAGTAGCCAATCTGCGTGTTAGGGGCGTGGTTTTGCGAAGGGTCAATTGGTCGGAACCCTTTCACACGTAAGTTTAAAATATTCTAACTGATCCCCCAGCAGTGGCGGCTGGTGAAATATATTCTTGTGGGGCTATGCCATACTTTTTTGTTTCTGTTACCATCGCAATACAATTTAAAACAAACTGCAGGACAGCAGTGCTCAGTGAAATAGTCAGTAATTATCTAATGCCAATATTAAAAAGTTGAGGGATTCTTACACAAAAACATAAACATCATATTGCACTAACACAAGCCTTTATATATATATAAAGTTTATAGGAAATTACACTGTATAAAGGATGTATAATTTAGTAATGAATATCAAGTGGCTGAACTCAAACCTTTGACTGGAAGAATAGCATACAGTATTTTATGATCAAACTAAATGTAACTAATTGTTAATGTACGGTGGCCCTGAAGTGCAAATCACAACAGCAAATAGGAAAACACAACGGCAAATAGGAAAACACAACGGCAAATAGGAAAACACAACGGCAAATAGGAAAACACAACGGCAAATAGGAAAACACAACGGCAAATAGGAAAACACAACGGCAAATAGGAAAACACAACGGCAAATAGGAAAACACAACGGCAAATAGGAAAACACAACGGCAAATAGGAAAACACAACGGCAAATAGGAAAACACAACGGCAAATAATAAAACACAACGGCAAATAGGAAAACACAACGGAAAATAGGAAAACACAACGGCAAATAGGAAAACACAACGGCAAATAGGAAAACACAACGGCAAATAGGAAAACACAACGGCAAATAGGAAAACACAACGGCAAATAGGAAAACACAACGGCAAATAGGAAAACACAACGGCAAATAGGAAAACACAACGGCATTAACTTCAAACGGAAAAGGTAGGGCCTATCTAGCAGAGAACGGGCCCTTGTGATTGGTTGACAACATCGTGTGATGACACAGGGTGGCCCAACAGAGAAAAGAATATTTCCACAGGGTGAAAAAGATTCCCGCAATAGATAATGTATTACAAATACTCGGAGATGACTTCGATGAGACGGAGACCCCCCCCCTATATATTTTTATTGCGGATCTACACAAATCACGTGGATGACCTATTTTAGAGTAAAAACGGCGAATTTCGCCGAAAGGTGACAACTTTGCACCCCTGAACCTTAACCCTACGAAACTAGCCCTAACCTTAACCCTACGAAACTAGCCCTAACCTTAACCCTACGAAACTAGCCCTAACCTTAACTCGAACATTATGAAACTAGCCCTAACCTTAACCCTACGAAACTAGCCCTTACCTTAACCCTACGAAACTAGCCCTTACCTTAACACTACGAAACTAGCACTAACCTTAACCCTACGAAACTAGCCCTAACCTTAACTCTAACATTACGAGACTAGCCCTAACCTTAACTCTAACCGTAACATTACAAAACTAGCCCTAACAAAAACATAGAGCATGCAGCGGCGTTTTGCCACTGTAAATTGGGTTTGCCACAGACAGAAGAGCGCAGGGTGGTACAGTGGGTAGAGTTGTCGCCTACCAAGCCGTCGGCAGTGGTTAGATTCCATCCGCCCGCATGATGTGACTTATTGCTTTTTACGTCTTAATTACGTTTTACTAGTACCGTAATCTCGTGTTTCTACAATAGTTCCCAGGGAAAGTAATTGTTGTGGTGTTTCTACAATAGTTCACAGGGAACGTAGTTGTTGTGATATAGGGTTGATATTTTAGCTATCATCATTGGCAGTTTGCCTCATATTTGCAAAGTAGTTTAAATACAGTCAGTTCCACTTTATTAGGATATAAGTAAAAAACTGTGCTACCAAACACAATTTAGATGATTGCTTTACTAAGCATGGTATTAAAAATAATGCGCAATATGTACAAACAGATCCTCCACACACAATTTGTCACTCGCATCAATTTTATCAACCACTATACTTATATGGTCATGAAACCAAAATGGTTTCACAGAAAGTGTCTGGCAGATTTTTAAAAGATTTCTCAGAGATGATAATGTAAGCATTCTTGGTTCAAAAGCCCCTGGGAACTTACTGTCTATTTAGTTTCCAAACATCAGAACATAAGCCTGCTGTCTGGCTAAAGTGCTCTGCTGGCCTCTATACTAGCCAGGGTCAGGTCACGCAGTCTGTCATTATCAGAGTCACAATCATTGGCCTAAAAAACGAACAAGCCAATGTCAAACACGGATTATATTAAAACAATATGTCTTACATTATATTATGCGTTTTAATTAGCTCAATGAAAATTTATAAACACAAAAAGACAACATGAAGCATTTTGAGGATAATGGGGAAAGAAAGCTGAAGATGAGATCTTTCAGTGTGTCGGACTGAGTTGCGATCTAAGCTTATATAAACAAACACAGACAGACACAAACACAAATATACAGTCCATCGATTTAGGGACACAAAGAGATATTCCAAATCAAAATCTTTTCTTTGTCACAATCTATGTGTAGCACAGAGGAAAGCCTAGGCGCAAAGCGTGTATATACGTTTAAAAACAGGTTTATTTAAATCAATACAAAACGTAAACGGCGAGAACACTATACAATGTACAAATGAAATTACGCATACACAGCCACCTACTAATAACATTTAAACAGCACTCTAACACAACACCCTATACATTCATGTGGCATAGAAACGATATCCCACACCGTGCTCCAAGACCCAGTGACTTTTATACCAAACATAATCACCTAATCTAAACCTGCTGTGCCCACTCTATTCACCCACATCTGATTCAGGTGACTTCAAACGAAGTTCAAGGTAACATTTCTCTTCATTCACTATCAAGTTTTACTACCAACCATGTTTGCACACACACAGAGCTTCTCACCTCCACCCCAGCGTAAGCATCTTGCTAGATCATTTCCTGTTCCCAGTGGGAGGATGGCCACCGGTGGATCTCTGGGAAAGTTGGCCTTGTCTGCAGACATAAGTGGATTACATAAATATTACTACTGTGTACTACTATTATTCAGACATCCCAAATCTCCCCGAAGTTCCGAGAGTCTCCCGCATTTTTAATAGCGGCTCCCTGGCGCAAGCAAATAACATACAATATCCCAGAAATCCACTTGTTTTATCGCGAGCGAGAGCACAGACATGATGACAGAGTGCCACACCGCGCGTCCTGATTGGTCTCTCTTTGTGAGAAACCTATCACTTTTTTCGGTAGGCGGGCTTTATTGACAACCTATTTAGTTCATCCGTCAGCTCGATTCAGTTTAGTGTCTTTGGCGCCATGAGTGTCAAAACACAAAAAAAGATGTTCAAAACGCACTTCACCCAAGACTTAACTAAAATGTACCCATCTGTAAGAGGTAAGCAATAAGGACAGTGTAGCTCGCTGCTTAAATCACGGTAAAAGACACGTTAATGTGAGTTTAATAGGGGTCATTTGTCGATTAGCATATCTATAGCATATCTTATTTTAACCAGCTATAAGCAGCTACTGTACTGATGTCTAGAGGCAGTGGCTATCCCCCTGTACACATGTGGAAAGTTGTTATTGAATAAACTGTGTGAGAAATAATAAAATAATATAAATATAAAATGAAACATTTTAAGAACATATTGTTATGTCACATTATCTGCATCAGTCTTGAATTAGGTGAAATTACAAAAAGAAAATATGTATGTTTAGTTTAAACTTTATATAACCAGGTAGGCCAATTGAGAACAACTTCTCATATGCAGTAGCGACCTGGGGAGCAGATGGGATTTGAACCCAGGACCTCATACACACAAAGCATGCACTCTACCACTGAGATACCAACTCCTCCAATAGGAACCCAGGACATCATACATACAGAGCATGCACTCTACCACTGAGATGCCAACTCCTCCAATAGGAACCCAGGACATCATACACACAAAGCATGCACTCTACCACTGAGATACCAACTCCTCCAATAGGAACCCAGGACATCATATATACAGAGCATGCACTCTACCACTGAGATACCAACTCCTCCAATAGGAATCCAGGACATCATACATACAGACAGAGCATGCACTCTACCACTGAGATACCAACTCCTCCATACATATGACAATATAATAAGGACACACAATCTGTTTCTATTCCATATTGGGACCGCTTCTTGTTAGGGAGGCTAAGCCCAGGAAAAGGCTGATCAAGCATTTCACAGTTGTTTAAGTAAAAAAACAAGTATGAAAAAAAAAATACATATTTTTGTCTAATAATTAAAATTACATATTTTCCGGAGCATAGTCAAGCAATTCATCAATGTACATATTTAATCAATATTATCCAGAAGGTTCCAACGCACCAATACAGTCTAAGATCCATCCAACAGTTCCGTCACCTCCACACGCCAAAACCCGGAAGTCAGGGACATCATGAAAAAAGTTGAGCCTGCAAAGACAAAGGAGGGGGAGATGAATTAAAGTGACAAAACAACGACCAGAGACACAGAAATCTGTATCTTACTAAGATAAAGGTGCTTTGTCTGTTCCTGTATGTGTGCACGCTATATTAGCGAGGGTGACCCCAGCGTGACAGACAGTGCTCCCTCCAGGTCGTTGAGGTAAACTGTGCTAACCCTCATTGGTGCTCCGTACAAGCATGTTGGGCGGAAAATGTCAACACAGCATATCGCTTAACTGAAGCAGTAGCACATTATCATTAAGTGTTGACACAGAGATACGTCCATATATAGTAACTGAAGCAGTAGCACATTATCATTAAGTGTTGACACAGAGATACGTCCGTATATAGTAACTGAAGCAGTAGCACATTATCATTAAGTGTTGACACAGAGAAGCGTCCATATATAGTAACTGAAGCAGTAGCACATTATCATTAAGTGTTGACACAGAGATACGTCCGTATATAGTAACTGAAGCAGTAGCACATTATCATTAAGTGTTGACACAGAGAAGCGTTCGTATATAGTAACTGAAGCAGTAGCACATTATCATTAAGTGTTGACACAGAGAAGCGTCCGTATATAGTAACTGAAGCAGTAGCACATTATCATTAAGTGTTGACACAGAGAAGCGTCCATATAGCTTAACTGAAGCAGTAGCACATTATCATTAAGTGTTGACACAGAGAAGCGTCCGTATATATTAACTGAAGCAGTAGCACATTATCATTAAGTGTTGACACAGAGATACGTCCGTATATATTAACTGAAGCAGTAGCACATTATCATTAAGTGTTGACACAGAGAAGCGTCCGTATATATTAACTGAAGCAGTAGCACATTATCATTAAGTGTTGACACAGAGATACGTCCATATATAGTAACTGAAGCAGTAGCACATTATCATTAAGTGTTGACACAGAGATACGTCCGTATATAGTAACTGAAGCAGTAGCACATTATCATTAAGTGTTGACACAGAGATACGTCCGTATATAGTAACTGAAGCAGTAGCACATTATCATTAAGTGTTGACACAGAGATACGTCCGTATATAGTAACTGAAGCAGTAGCACATTATCATTTAACTTTATTATCCTAACCCTACTGCATGACGCTCGACAATTTGTTTCAATATTTTATGCATGCGGGCTAAGTATGGTGAAAGCGTACAATTGGCGACTTCGAAGACAGACCAAACTAGAATCTGCATTGGGAAATAGGCATCACTTTTAATCAACACATAAGCAACAAACTGTATTCTCAAAACAAATCACTTGACTTCAATCTGCCACTTATCTGAAAGGCTGGTGGTGACTGATGCTGTTACCATGGAGCCTGTACTAATAGAGCTGGATAATGTCTCTGACTGATGCTGTTACCATGGAGCCTGTACTAATAGAGCTGGATAATGTGTCTGACTGATGCTGTTACCATGGAGTCTGTACTAATAGAGCTGGATAATGTGTCTGACTGATGCTGTTACCATGGAGCCTGTACTAATAGAGTTGGATAATGTGTCTGACTGATGCTGTTACCATGGAGCCTGTACTAATAGAGCTGGATAATGTCTCTGACTGATGCTGTTACCATGGAGCCTGTACTAATAGAGCTGGATAATGTGTCTGACTGATGCTGTTACCATGGAGCCTGTACTAATAGAGCTGGATAATGTGTCTGACTGATGCTGTTACCATGGAGTCTGTACTAATAGAGCTGGATAATGTGTCTGACTGATGCTGTTACCATGGAGCCTGTACTAATAGAGCTGGATAATGTGTCTGACTGATGCTGTTACCATGGAGTCTGTACTAATAGAGCTGGATAATGTGTCTGACTGATGATGTTACCATGGAGCCTGTACTAATAGAGTTGGATAATGTGTCTGACTGATGCTGTTACCATGGAGCCTGTACTAATAGAGCTGGATAATGTGTCTGACTGATGCTGTTACCATGGAGTCTGTACTAATAGAGCTGGATAATGTGTCTGACTGATGCTGACTGATGCTGTTACCATGGAGTCTGTACTAATAGAGCTGGATAATGTGTCTGACTGATGCTGTTACCATGGAGTCTGTACTAATAGAGCTGGATAATGTGTCTGACTGATGCTGTTACCATGGAGTCTGTACTAATAGAGCTGGATAATGTG